AAATGTAATTTATGTTAAGAGGAATAGTAATTTCTTTATGAAAAATAGTGACAGACATAACATTAATACGAGGAATAAAAATAAAGTAGCTGTTCTTGATAGTCATCTCTACGAAGTCACAAATTCATTTAACGGGCAATGAATACGCTTCTATAACTAGGTTCCGGTTGATATACAAAATTTGCTAATCACGAGGTTTAAAACTAGAGTACAACAATAACTTTATATTAAAGGCTATTATACAACTTATGCATACTTGGATCCATGACAATAGCCCGTTTAGCTCATTGAGGTAGTCTCGATCTCTGGTGTTTGAAAACAAAGATGTTGAATGTGTACAAATGTAATTTACAAAGAGCAACCCCTAGAGTTTCTTGCTCATTCGTCTCAGGGGAATTTGTCTTACGAATGAACGGTAGAGACCAATGTGACAATTTCAGGTAATGCCTAGCTATCAAATAAAGATTATTTTGATTTTGACTGCTGTAATGTTTTCAGTGGTTCAGTGGATAACAATATAGTAGCAGTAAAAGTTCTTGTGAAAGAGTTTGTACAGGCAAGTACTGCCACTGTGCCTATTTATCTACCGCCAAGCACACATTACTGCTTAACAGTGTTGAAGGATAACAGTGCAGCTGAAATTCAGGCACATGGGACAACTTATTACTCAGGGTGACGGGCGCTGTGGCAATTCCCCTCGGATCTTTGAGAGTTAAAGTTCTGAGCGCCACTGCTGTTTTATGCAGGCATGAATGCTGTCACTTGTTATTATAAAAAAACTGTGAGCACTAAATGGAGGGCCCGAATTTGGCAACCTGTAGGACCAATTTGAGATACAAACTTTTCTTGGTATGGTGTATTCTGGAAAAATCTTTGAGTACATTTGGTTCCTCTAATATTCTTAGTAAAGGAAATTCATTCTTTTCCAAACAGGTAATTGGAATGAATAGGTGTCTGGCACTAATGATTGCTATTATTATTTATTATCCATGTTTTTTGAAGACGGAGTAAAATGACAGCTCATCGCGCGAAAGTGTTGCAAGCAGCTAATGATTGCAGTCAATAACATGTTATATCGACTATCAACTGTTTCATTTGAATCATCTTCGACCCATTATTCATCCAATTACTGAGCACAAGTTCATACACACATACACTGTATTTAGAACTATGTTTATGATAAATACAAAGAGGAGACATATTTTAAAGTTTTTCATTTTAATTCAATATAGGTAATCAAATCCAGCTATTCTTGTTAAAATGTATAAGAATAAAAATTGATCTCAATACTAGTAAGCAAACTGACAAAATAAGACTAAAGAAAGCAATAACACAATTAGTAAACATTAGAACATCGTGACATTCAATTCAGTCATTTTTGGCTAAATTTTATTTACTTACCTATTTAAAATTTTACAAAAACTGGCAACCCTACAAATGTCATTTTACTCCTTCAAAAAAGACAGACTTACTGTTATTAGGTTTGATTAACATTCTCGAACATAAAACAATTCCCAGTATCGAGATGGAGCTTTTAAGACACAATTTTATACAAAATCATTTTTTAATTTGTAAATAGTACCTTTAGAATAGTCTAAAATATAATTTCTTTTTTTATGATATTTCATAATGTAGTAGTTAGTTTACTTACCTTCATGTCCATTGTTTTGTTTAGGCTGATTGTATAGCCAAAGCATCAATAAAAAAAAAATATATATTTGATTATTACTATTATTACCTATTTATATTTGGGGATCTAGCAGCCATTTCAAAACAATAACAAGATGTTATTGTATGTGAAATTATCAATAACGATTTAAATTATAAGAAAATAATAATTACAAATGAAATAGTTTTTCCGCAACCACATAGCATTTTTTTTCATTTTCTTCTTTTTCTTTACAGGTCCAATGGTCACAGTTCGTTGTTTGAAAAAAGAAATATACGTGATTTAGATCTGGTGAAATAGTATCCATTTCCAATAAGAATACAATGTTTTACAGATCCACAAAAAAACTTTCTAATTTATTTTAAATTTGACGACATAATTCAACGAACAGAAATGGCAAAATAATAAAGCACACCTTTCACTTTAGAAACTACAATAAATTGCCATTTAAGTTGGCAATAAATGACCAATTAAGGAAAAGATAAGGTAAAAATACTGTATAATATACAGGAAACCACAGTAACTAAATATAATTCACAGGCATTAATAAAATAGTAAAAACAAGCAGCGTAGTAAGTACTCATCGGCTAAATCAATTTCACATCTTCGCTTCTACGAAATTTACATATTTTTTTATCAAAAATACCAAGCTATATACTTATAAATCAGAGCAATAGTATCTAAACCGTTAAGGCTATAATACAATACCGGGATTACCTTATCTGAACAAATAAATACCGATAAACTTTCGATACAGAAAACGCTAATTCAGTTTTCGAATTTTAGGTTACCATTAACGGTATTTAGAGTATATTGCTAATAAAACTTACCGATACACGCCGGTGAGACGCTGGGGAGTCGTAGAGCACACAAAAGCGCCGATAAAATGTTAATTGAATAGAAAATTACTTCCGAGTTCAATATAAAGATCGCGACGGAGTCGGACGATGTCACCGTCTGACATTTCTATTCTTGTTGGCCATTTTGAATTTTCGTTCGGAAATTGTGATAATAGGGTATTGACCCACTTTCTAATGAATTTTGCAAAACTTCCAAAAGCTTACATCAAGACACGGTAGGCATGTCCTTGACACGCCACACCGAAAGACTAATAATTAGTATCGTATAATAATTATCTATACAATATATTAATGATAATTATATAATAATCTCTTAATAATTATTTATCTCAAGTAAATTATTGATAAAAATTTATTTATTTGTGTAATTACACATTAATTTTTTTATTGTATTTTTTAATGACATGTGCCCACTAACGGGACGGCTCAGCAGGGGATCCTTCGGTATCCTTATCCCTACATGCAAGTATACATTGACGGCAATCATGCCGCGGTGTCCTAGACATGCCACGATATTCTTAAGTACGACGACGAGGTGTCCATAAGTATGACGAAGTGGTGTTGGCTAATCTTCCGAAATAATTGAATTAGTGGAAATATTTCCAAAAAAATTCTGAATATTTGTAAAAATTCGAAGATTCATATTATATAATTTGTTGGTCAACTGCGAAAAAAGAGAATCATAGGTAAAAAATCTTTATAATGACTCCATCGTTTTCGTTTATGTTCCTTGTTGGTCAACTGCGAAAAAAGGAATCGTAAATAAAAAAATATTTATAATGGCTCCATCGTTTTCGTTCAGTAGCTTCAACTTTTGGCAGGTGTCAACTGTCAAATATCGGAAAAATGCAGAAAGAGTATGAGAAAAATATTCGGAAATAAATAATTTTTTGTAAAAAAAATATTTTTCTTTTTTCAAAATTACAATTTTTCCTTGATCGAATACAAATTGCGCCTGGCCTCTCTTCATATCAGTCCTGCAGTGCGTGCCTACCCTCGCCCTGCATACCAATATAGTCACACTCGACGTCCCGCAGCATCCAGAGAGCTGCCTATGCATTCTGGAGACGTAGACTGCCGCTACCGGCTCGGTATCCCTAAGTATGCCACAGCTTTGTTTTTATAACTACAACAATTTTATTATCATTCAAATTTCAACTACAATTCCATAACTTTTCGTTCGACTTTTCGTCACCTAAATATCTTCTGCCGGACCATTCATCAGTGGGCGTCGGGCCTTAGTATATCATTTTCAAGCAATTTTGGTAAAAGTCAGTGAAGGTGCAGATGTCACTGAACAATTTACCAATGAGCAGTTTGCGTGCCAGACTCAGGGTCGTATTCCAGAACTCTACTCAATGCTCAAGTCAGGATTTGAGCAGACTTGGGCATGATTTCAAGTACTGGAAGTGCTCACTGCAATACTTAATTCCTGACTTGAGTATTGAGTAGAGTTCTGGAATACGACCCGTAGAGGGAGAATAAGTGCCAGACCACTTTGAAAAGGCACACATTATGATTAGATTCAGCCTCCAACTCCATTGTATGTGTATAAAAATTGTTAGACGAAAAGTGCGTTTCGTTAATGCTGTGCTATTTGCTACTACTAAAAATACTTACTTTACTCTCTGGTAACACCATCATTGTATACCACCAACCAATTCATAAAATTTTGACATTACAGTGACAATATATTTCATTTCCAAATTTCGTTTCTTGTGTTTTTATTTATTCTGTTATTTACTATTTACGTATTTTAGCATTTGAAAGAATGTTGTAATTATTTTAGAATAAGAATAATAGACACATTGTGTACATTGAGCATCTGGTCTTACAAGTGTAAATATACCTAAAATATGGAATTAGCCTACACATTACAAGTCGACAACTCCGACGGTAACGTGAAAAGAGAATTGTGTGACATTGAGAGTGCTTGCAGAGTGTGTATGGCTCAAGGAAGAACTACGAAGTGTATATTTGATAATGAAAGCGGGAAAATCTTTGAAATGATTCACTTTTGTTCAGGAATAGAGGTAATTTTTATGTTCTAAATTCTTTCATGGGGGTAGTGTAAAATCTTTTCCGTGGTTTTTTTATGCAGTGTTATGTGCGAAAAAGTCTCTGTTTCCCTCCCTTCCCAAGTCGTCATCATCTTATTTAAGGGCCAGACTCTTGTTGGTGTAGCCTCCTCCACTCCTCACGGTTCATAGCCAGTTCTTTGACCTCTCTATAGATGTTCACTTTGATCTTCTTTTTTATTTGTTCACTGTACGCCATTCTTGGTCTTCCTCTCTTTCTTTTCTCTTCTATCCTCCTCTCAATTATCACTCTCACGTCTAGATTAAAAAATAATAACTTACAATTGCACACAAAATAATTCCATCTGCATTTTGATCACGTTGTCCACACGCTGAAAGCCCTAATTCTTTTTATATAATGTAGGAGGCTGACAAGTCACTTGATGGCAGGTGGTTTGCAACACTTCTTTGTTAATTTTATTTCATGACAACAACCAACACTAGGGGTGGTATTCCAGAACTCTACTCAATGCTCAAGTAAGGGTTTGAGCAGACTTGAGTATGATTTCAAGCACTGGAAATATGACCCTAATGGCAAGGACTTGAGCATGATTTGTAGTGCTTTGAATCATACTCAAATCCTGACTTGAGCATTGAGTAGAGTTCTAGAATACGACCCTAGAAGAGCTTGCTAATATACAAGTACTCAGATCAGATTATTATTTTTCCTCAATGGTGGTCACTAGACTTGGGCCTGTATCAGTTTTGTAAAAATAATTGGCAATTGTCGCCAGTGTCAATATTTTTTACAGATTTGTGTATTGCCTAACCACAATAACCACAAAAAGTGTTTGCATTTCAATGTAGACTTATAAAATACTCTTTAATTCTTATTATTCCAGATATCAAAAGGAGATGGTCTACCGACACGCATCTGCACAATCTGCCTAGGAAACTTGACCATAGCGCACAAATTCAAAACTACCTGCATAATATCTAATGAAACTTTTCAGAAGTTTCTTATTCCACATATCAAAGAAGAGCCTGACAACATATTACCTAACAATGATGTTGAAAGTGATGACAATGATCAGAATGAACATGTTGACAAAGATGATCAGGACCATGACGAGCTGGATGACCAGACTGATGATAAATATGACAATATAATTAAAATTTTAAAGCTTAATTGTAGAAGAAGTGAAAGGATCACAACAGTGAAAACTGAAAAGTGAGGTTTTAAATTGTTTAGTCATTTTTAAATGAAACATAAATAGTTAATCTGCCTCCATGACTGAACGGCCAGGTGGTCTGCCACACAGCAGTCCCGGGATTGGATCCCGAGCCGGGAGAAATATTTGTTTGTCCTACATTTATTTCTCTGGAAAGTTTCTGTGGTAATTTGTGGTTGTCTATGTGTGTGACCATGGCATGCGTAATACAGTGTTTCCCTAGTATGTGGCTTTGAGTGTGAGCATTATTATTGTTGTTTTTATTGTGTGGTGTCTTGTTACCTCTTCCTTTACGAAAATTGTACTTATCGTATTGATGATGTACACTGTATTGCTTGCCTTCATGATGAAAGGATTGACCAATCGGTGTACAGGAAAGGAATGGTAATTTGTATTGAAAGGCTCCTTACGTGCACCCTAAAGTAAAGTAGTGTATTATTCATATCTATCAGAACATACTAGAAGTCCGAATTAGTTTGTATGATGTCTGAGCAAGAACAAGTGGAACTCGCTTTTAAGATCGACTTTTTAGTAGCAGTAAAGGTGTTTGTGAAAGAGTTTGTCCATGGAAGTAATGCCACCTTACCTATCTTTACCGCCAAGCAGTAATCTGAGCATTAGTGCTTTCCAGTTTGGAAGGGTAAGGGTGCTGGTGAAATTACAGACATATTGGACTTGTCAACTTATATCTCATGGTGACAGGAGCGATAGTAGTGCCATTAAGATCTTTGCGATTTAAAGCTTTGAGTGGCACTGCAACTGTTATGGGTAGGCGTGCGCTTACCACCACCTGGTGTTAAGCGACTTGTTTTACCCATGACATGGTATTATTTAAAAAAAACAGGCACTAGATTAAAGTACAAACCAATCTCACTTGCAAAGTAAAATGAAGACAAGAGTTTATTGTTGTAAAAATTTTTAGTATTGTTACAACAAAAGAAACATCGTAAACTGTGTCAAATTGATGTGCATTTTATGTTTAATTTTCCACGCACTGATAGTTCATAGCAGTGTGTTAAATTGCAGACAAATAAAAAAAGAAAATGCTTCAGAGATAACTCAAGCTAGAACGAAGCGTCGATACACAAAAGCCAATGGAGAGACAAGGATCAAAAGACAAAACAAAAACAAATTTACAAGGCTAACTTGTAAAATTTGCGATCTTAAGTTTGACAATAAGGAGGAGTGCGCGAAACACAACCAGAGTTGTCATAAGGACAGCCTTAGCTTCATTTGTGAGGTAAATTAATTTACATACGGTATATATATAAATTTACATGTTCCTGTGTATTTGGAAGCCAGTACAAAGAAGATCTAATAACAAAAACGCAGGGGAATTTCGATAGCAAGATAACTTGACCTGTGGCTCCGGAAGTAAGAGCAATGCTATGGTGCAGCATGGTCGTTCAAGTTCCACTGGATAGAAGAATTTTTTCTGTGTTCAATCTTTGTAGTGATAATCATATACAGTGTGTTGATTTGCATTCTCGCCATATTTAAGAAATTAATAATAGAAATAATGCTTTAAATATTTTTAGATGATTTACAAAAAATATTCTTACTAATTATACTAGTATCTAATAAAGTTTTGTAAAATTGTCCCCTAGTGTATTTACCGCGGAGGACAGTGAACCCACCATTCGCTTCATCGAGCGATACGTAATCTTTCTCGATCGCTTATTTACCTATTTTTTAAATTATGTTTATGTACTAGTATTGTTATAATTTACTTATTATTTACATTAGTTAGAAAAGTTGACTGCAAAAAGATTTTTTGTAACTTAGATTTGGTACTTCCCAACTTTAGGCTACATGAAAGTAGTGCTAGAAGTACCTAGCTCCACAGCCGGTAGCAGGCTCCGTACCGGAGCCAGCCACAGGTATGCAGTTTCGTTTCAACATAGCATATTCTTCACAACAGAAAAAGCAGAAAGAGAGAATCAGAGACGATTTTTGCGCGCACTTCGACACTGGTAATCTGCGTAAACTATACGTTTCACATCATGCCATAAGAACGCACGTGATGGTAATGCAGGGTATGGTGAAGTGGTAGCGGTTTTTTTTGCACTAACTCTTGTTTACATACCAAACCACATGGAATTTCGTGAGAAACTAGAACGTATGCGCGATGTCAGCGGAACATAGACGCAATACGCAAGGTCGACTGATGATCTACCAATTACGCGCCCGATACGATACTTCCCCCGTCCCTACTCGTACCTTACTACCAAATAGATCTAAAATGCATATTTTCTGCGCATAGGCCATTGTTCAAATGGTTGCCGGTACCTGTGACACGTGTAGTAACGGTCAAGCGTGGTTACCGCAATTAAATAAGAAATAAGAATTTTGGTTTTTTTTTCAATTTATTTTTTTAGTGATTTGGGTTCAGTTTCAGATATAGATTGACCTCTGTAAATATGGCGAGAATGCAAATCAACGCATTGTATACATAACAAAACTAGGGGAGTTAATTCACAAAAAAATCCCAATGATGCAATTCTTTTTTTTTAAATTATGGTTTATTTTTCTACATAATCTTCTTTTAACTCTGTACACCTTGACTAGCGATATCCCAACTTCAACTCATCAAAATAATATTTTTTTGTCTAAATGAAAATTTAGCCTCAATTTTAACTATCACTTCCTCATTTGATGCAAATGGGTAAAAAATCAGATTAAAAATCTCAAATGGGTTAAAAACCCTTTTTTTAAGCGGGTTGAAAGGGTGTATTGAGTTAACAAGGTACGGTAATAAAGCAAAAATGTTAGTTTTTCAAAGTCCTAGTTTCGGAACTATTAGAGTTTTACCTAAGTTGAAACCTTCGGAGCTATTGTCGCTAGATGGCGTTAGCTGTAACATTGATACTTTCAGCGTTGTTGATAGTAATAATAATCAATCCGTTACTGTAATATTTTTTTTACTTTAACACTTTCACAGGTGTGTGGAAAGTTTTTCACTCATCGTTCGTCGCACTATTCGCACTTGAAGTCCCACCTACCACCACAATATTCATGCAGCCTCTGCGACTACACCACATGGTACAAACACGATCTGGCCAAACACGTCCGGATACATAATGGTAATTTTCTATGTAAACATATGTGGCTACCGCGGTTCACTCTCACTCAATGATCTTATACACAAGATAATGAAGTACGTAACGTGCATAGTAATTAATAATTAATATTTAATAAATTATCGTTTGAAGTCTGTCGCGCAACATATACAACTGTTAATACAATAGTGTTGTGCATAAACTAAGATCTGCAAAAAAAAACCACAGAAAAATTCGTAAGGTCTCTTAACTGGCAGAGCATCTGCCACGGATTGCCTGAGAGTGCTGGTTTGAATCCAGCCGGATCGAATTTTCCAAAATGTTCGATCTTCGTTATTAATAATTAATAGTAAGAGGCCAAATTTGACAGCTAACGAAGGCTAGTATGTAACTTTGAAAGCGATCAACGATATAATGAACAAAAAAAACTTAAATTTTATTGAAACATTATATAATATGACAAAACATATTTGAAGTACTGTTTTCGCACGAATTCCAAAAAAATGCAATTGTGAGTTACCCCGTAACGTCCTGGGGGCGTATGAACTTTTAAAAGAACATGCAAGTTCCAGCGCTATTCTTTTTACGCCCAAAAACTGACTGGATAAAATTCATATCACGACCTAAATATTTTCCGCCGACTTCTCGCTGGTTATTTTACGGTAAGTTACGATGATATATTTGTCACTTAGTTTAAGAGAAAAATAATAGATACGTATTATTCATATACGAAAATAAATAAAGTCACTATACATTAATAATAATAAAAATACTACATAATAATAACAATACACTATATTTTAATTATTGTAAATAAGAGAAAAGCGCAAATTAAGTTTCCGAACGACGTCAATTGTCGTCTTAAATTCCGCGGGTAAATTTTTACTTTGCAGTTTGTTGAAAACATGTCAATAACATTTTTTGAGAAAATTTTACTATAAATTAAATTGTAAGAAGTTATGCTTGGCTTTAGTGAAAAATAACCTTTAGTATCAACCAATGAATCTGCGACATATGCGGTATGAGTTCATCGCAAAGATTGTGGACCATATCTTTGCTAAGCCGGTATCTTTTCGTAAATTGTTGTGCATCCATTTCAAACGGAACACTACGATGTCGCAGTTGTCTTCTTTGGATTTTTTCCATATTATTATCGTGTGAAGTATCACTTTCGAGATACGCAAACATTTCGTATTCATCGCACATGATGACACGATTGCCTAAAAATATATAAACTCAAAATTATAATAATTATTATACAATTATACACAAAACAATTCAATAAAAGCTACACCAAGACACTGTGAACTGAGTGGTTTATTGCTGTTACATTTTGACAGATCAAACGTAAAGAAAGTGTCAAAATAATGTTTATAATACGATATCAGATCAGATATATTTCAGACGTCGAAATCGCTAGATTGGTTTACTTCAGCTACTTTCACAGTCTAATGACATACGGCATTTTGCTTTGGGGTAATGCCGCCGATATCAACAGAATCTTTGTCCTGCAGAAACGTGCAGTTAGGGCAATTTACAATCTGGGCCCCAAAGTATCTTTGAGAGATAAGTTTAAGGAAATTAACATTCTTACACTAGCCTCACAGTACATTTATGAGAATGTAATTTATGTTAAAAGGAATAGTAATTTATTTATGAAAAATAGTGACAGACATAACATTAATACGAGGAATAGAAATAAACTAGCTTTTCTTGATAGTCGTCTTCACAAAGTCAAAAAATCATTTAAGGGGCAATGTATACGCTTCTATAACAAGATTCCGGTTGATATACAAAATTTGCCTTTCACGAGGTTTAAAACTATAGTGAAACAAAAACTTTATA